CACCGTCCGCCCTCCACAATTCCTCTGTCCGATACAAACACTCTCTTTTATTATATACTAGCTTGGGGACCCGGCGTTGCCCGGGTTATTAGAGAAAGTGGGTAATGGTGGTTCTGTATGCCAAGTTTGGTCTTTATTGGTCTTTGGATAATGGCAGCATTATTTTCAGGAAGTGAGTGAAGGTACTTGAAGTCCCATCATCCATGGCCCATCCTCCTACAAACAGCAGCAGGATATAGAGTGGGTCATGGGGGCTCTGTGTGCCAAGTTTGGTCTTTATCAGTCATTAGATGAGGGTGGCAGTGGTGTCAGTAAGTGAGTGAAGGTACTGCAAGTCCCATCATCCAAAGTCCATCCCCCTTCTAACTGCAGCAGGATGTAGAGTGGATCATGGGGGCTCTGTGTGCCAAGTGTGGTCTTGATTGGTCATTAGAAGAGGGTTGCAGCAATCTTTGGAAGGGAGTGGAGGTACTTGAAGTCCCATCATCCATGGTCTGTCCTCCTCCAAACTGCACCAGGATGTAGAGTGGGTCATTGGAGCTCCATGTGCCAAGTTTAGCCTAGATTAGTCATTGGCGAGGGTCTCAGTGGTCTCAGGAAGTGAGCAAAGGTACTGCAAGTCCCATCCCATAACGTGGGTCATGAGTGGTCTATGTGCCAAGTTTGGTCTTGATCTGTCATTGGATGAGGTTTGCAGAGGTCTCAGAATGTGAGTGAAGGTATTGGAAGTTCCATCATCCATGGTCCACCCTTCTCCAAAACTGCAGCAGGATGTAGAGTGGGTCATGGGGGCTCTGTGTGCCAACGTTGGTCTTGATTGGTCATTAGATGAGTTTTGCAGCAGTCTTGGGTAGTGGAGGTACTTGAAGTCCCATCATCCATGGTCTGTCGTCCTCCAAACTGCTCCAGGATGTAGAGTGGGTCATTGAAGCTCCATGTGCCAAGTTTAGTCTTGATGAGTCATTGGCGAGGGTCTCAGTGGTCTCAGGAAGTGAGTGAAGTGACTGCAAGTCCCATCATCCATTGTCAAAATCTTCCAAACCGCACCAGGATGTAGAGTGAGTTATGCGGACTCTCTGTGTAAATTGTGGTCCTGATCCATCATTGTTGGCAGTTATAATGGTCTTAGGAAGGGAGTGCAGGTATTGCAAGTCCCATCGTCCATGGTGCATCCTCCTTCAAACTGCACCTGGATGTAGAGTGCGTCATGGAGACTCAGTGTGCCAAGTTTGGTATTTTTTGGTAATTGGATGAGGGTTGCACTGGTCTGAAGAATGAGCAATGGTATTGCAAGTCCCATAATCCACGGTCCATCCCCGGCCAAACCACACCAGGACGTAAAGTGGGTCATGAGAGGTCTATGTGCCAAGTTTGGTCCTGATCAGTCATTGGATGAGATTAACAGCGGTCTCAGAATGTGAGTGATGGTACTGCAAGTCCCATCCTCCATGGTTCATCCTCCTCCAAACTGCAGTAGGATGTAGAATGGGTCATGGGGGCTCTGTGTGCCAAGTTGCTGTATTGGGAGTGTTCTGACCCAGGCCCCGGCCTTTCCTTTCCTCTCTTTCTCATCTCGGAATGTTGGATTTGAGGCTGGCCAATCAGAGACCATATGCAAATTTCCTTCTGTCATGCCCCGTTTCTGCCATGAACCCTCTTCTCCACCATGGGCTCCTATTGAAGCTGGCCAATCAGAGACCATATGCAAATAGCACCACAGCGGCAGCCAATCAGAACGCTGCCACATACACCGCCCTCCACCTACATACAAACACTCTTCTTTATTATATATATAGATATAGATATAGATATAGATATGTACATTTTTTAAAAATGCTTCAATGCAATTATTCCTCTTCAAAAATGAAAGCTACTGTATTAATCCCATTTTTCTCTAGAAAGCTTTATACAGATAACAAATAACTCTTTATACTCTTTTTAGTTTCAAGAGTCTTGAGGAGATTTTGAAGCATCTTGCCCACCCACTCATACACAATGGGGAGCATTTCTAAGTTTCCTTTATCTATTGAAAACTAGCTGTCCCCTGCCATGCGATGCTGTGGCCCAGTCTGTGCATATGTGTTTTGTGAGTGTATATATGTGTGTATATATGTGGGTATATGTGTCTTTGCGTGTATATGGTTTTGCGCATGTGCTGTAGCGTCTTTTGCTTCTTTGGCTTTTAAGTCCCTTCCGCTATATTTTCCAGTGTTTTTATGAATGATGGCCATTTGTTGGCCTAAGATGTGTATTGTGTTCAAATTTGGTATCAATTCATCCAGTGGTTTTTGAGTTATATTAATCCCACAAATGAACATTACATTTTTATTTATATAGAAGGATATCTCTGCATGCTTTCCACCATCCTATGCCATTCCTGTGATACAGGATAGCAGAAACTTATCATCATGGTCCAGGACAGCTTGAATGTTTGTGACGCCATAGCTGTGCAAATGGCACTTCCAGGTGGGTGGGGAAACTCCTTCCTCCCACTATGCCTCTTCCCCATCTCATTTAAAAAAACTATTATATTTATGGGCACTTCACAAATGCAATGTACCCAGTGGGTTTTTTAAAAAATGACAGCACTGGGAGCATGACAGATGTAATAGCATGGCACAATGTGGGGCTATTGACTTTGTCCATTAATTGCCCCAATGGCTTCATCATTGAGAAATGGTATGCCAGCAACGGGTATAGCACAACATCATGCAAGTCCTGCTACTGTACTAATTCGACACCTCCATACATATACGTCTGAAGTGATTATCGGACTGGAGTTAAGACCAAGGTAGGAGTGATATGTTGAGCTTACAGTTTAGGAGAGGAGTCTTTAAAATGCTCAGTCAGAGAGGTTGAGCATTTTGCACCTCACTAAACTACAAATCCCAGAATTCTGCAGGAGGCAGCAACTGAATTTAAAGTGAATCCATGCTCTATTGCAGTGGTTCTCAACATGTGGGTCCCCAGGTGTTTTGGCCTACAACTCCCAGAAATCCCAGCCAGTTTACCAGCTGTTAGGATTTCTGGGAGTTGAAGGCCAAAACATCTGGGGACCCACAGGTTGAGAACCACTGCTCTAGTGTGATGAGGCAGTAGGAGTCCAGGAGACTATGGAAACTCACTAGGTGAATTTGGACAAATTAAATTCTTTCAGTCTCAGAAGAAGCCAAGGACAAATCCTTCCTAAATAAATCTTGCCAGGAAACCCCTGTGATAGGTTTGCCTTAGAGTGACCAAAATCACTAACAACTTGGAAGCACACAACAACAAAGGTTGAAGTTTTTTGAATATGACTAGAACTTCAAAGAAAAATGTACTTCAGGTTGAATAAAATTGTTCTGTGCCTAAGGCAAGAAATTGGATGTTTTTTAACTGGAAGGGAACAAATTATATTATTCATGAATGACAGTGTCCCTCCCCTCCCCTCCTTGGCATTCATCTTCAACTGACATAGGTAATTATATTTATTGTTGGTTTTGGTGGTACTGAAATTAGGGTGCATCTTACAATGGATGGTGTATTTTACATTGTATTTAATAATCTGGTGTTCATGTATTTATTGATTTGCCTTGCCTTGTATGTGAAAGACCTATGGTCTAAGCATCGAATAAACTACTACAACAATGGGTGGTGTCTCACAATTGAAGAAATGTGGTACATCATGAAAGGAACATCTCATTGGCACTGAAAATAGCCTTCTGCTCTGATTTGTAAGCAGTATCAGAAGCATATGAAATCTTCATTCTTTTCAGCTCTATGTATTGAATTCCCCCCTAAAAACATGCCTGTACTTAATTAGGAATGCAGCTATAGGAACTATAGCTGTATTCCTAATTAAGAACTTGTAGCTAAATGCAACATGTTAAGCAAATGTTCACTTTGATTCTGAATTTCCCATGACAGTGACAATAAATGAGAATTAAATTCCTGGGTACCTGATCCCAAGAAGGCTTTTTCATTCAAAAGATGACAATACATGATTCCGCATTGCTGTACAGAATAAACCAATTTTAAGTTTTATTTCATTCTTCTTTATTTGTTTTATCGTTCTTTACAAAGCCAAACAGTGATTTATATGCAACCATATTCATGTTTATTCAAAACATAAGTCTAATTAAGTATTTGAATATTTAAAGATAAAGTAAACCAGACATTCTTCTTCAGAATTAATGCAGTTTGACACTGTTGTATTGCCATGACCCAATGCTGTAAAATCATGGGAATTGTAGTTTAGTAAGGCACCACAATTCTTTGACAGAGAACGCTAAAGATCATGTAAAACTACAACTCCCATGATCCCATAGTACTGAGTCATGGCAGTTAAAGTGATGCCAAATTGCATTAACTCTACAGTGTAGACACACCCCTAGTCAAATAAAGCACTACCTTATGACCTTTTGTTATAAAGCAATTTTGTTTCCCCTTCCATCTGAGGCCCCATCTACACTGCCATACAATCCAGTTTCTGAATCCAGATTATCATATTCGAACTGGATTATAGGCTGTGTAGACTCATATAATCCAGGTCTAAGCAGATTTAACTGACGGAAGTCCTTTATTTAACCAGGAAGTAAACTAGGCAGTCTTGGCGGCCTCAGAAATTATTTTGCAGGGCCACTGCTGTGACCTTTCCCACGTTTGTGCTAAACCATACTTTCAATGAAGTCACGACCAAGTTTTCTTCCTTCTTCTGTTGACATAGCAATTTTCCATAATGATAACAAAAGTCCTCCTGAAATAAAAAAAACAACAACAAATGAAAGGGCATTTATTTATTTCATATTTTAAAAACTTTTTCAACTCAATGAAAGCTTAGTCTATTGAATCATGGCCAAGATCCCAAATGCGGAAACATATTGTTTAGTCCTCGCAGCACCCTAGATGATTCCCTTTTTTCCATGTCTTTGGAAATACCTTCAACTGCTAGTCAAAATAATTTGCAATGTAGAGCCCCGCCCTTGGAGAGTTGACTAGTCCCCCAGGTTGCCAATTCTAGCACTATTATTCCTCAGGGTGGGGAAGGGTTCTGGATGGGGGGCACCATTGAGGTTGTGTGGGAAGTCGGATTTGGCCACGGTGAAATTCCCTGTGTTTTTAATGTTTGATTTTACATTGTTATGTTGTATATTATTTTGATTTTGCATTTTATGTATTTTGCTCGTTTTATTGTGTTTTGTGTTATATTGCTTGTATTGTATCAATGGGCGTGGCCTCATGGAAGCCGCATCGAGTCCCCCTGGGGGAGATCGAGCGGGGTATAAATAAAGTATTATTATTATTATTATTATTGTTGTTGTTGTTGTTGTTGTTGTAAAGTTCAATTCAGGCAGAACTATAGCACTTCTCCCCTTACTGCAGGACCCACCTTTTGTTGGAAATAGCAACCTTCTACAAGCCTCCTATACTAGTTATTTGTTATGTATATCAGGCCCGTAGCCAGGATTTCGTTTCGGGGGGGGGGGCTGAATTTTTTTCAGGGGGGGTTCAGGGGGGCTGAGTGGCGGGGGCTGAGTCTGAGTGAAAGAGGGTCTAGCCTAGCAAACCTTTTGTATCATTACCCCAATACCCCCATGCATATGGGATATATTGAGTATGGTGATCAGATCATGATATGAATAAACATAACAGTTTAAATAATGCACCAGTAAGGCCTTTTTGAACCACCATGAGAATTTCGGGGGGGGGGGGCTGAAGCCCCTCAAGCCCCCCCCCCCCCCCCCCCCCCCCCCCCCCCCCCCCCCGGCTACATGCCTGATGTATATAATTCAGATTGTTTGCTATATTGTATATGTGTATACTGGTATGCAGTTTTCCTTATCTCTATGTTGTTTGAGGTTGTGGGAGGGACTGCAGACCATGTGATCAGATCTGGGAGTATTCAGACTGAGACTCCATGTTTAGTGTGTGTGTGTGTGTATTTAGTATGGTATTTGGTTTTGCATTAGACAGAGAGGAGACTGCATCAGAATGCCTTAGAGATCTTACCGTTTAAACTTTCAACTGATAAGCAATGTACCTGTATGCTGAATACATGAATTATGTACGTAAACCAACTATGTTACTTTTAACAAAGACTAATTTTTGAGAACATAATTTAAAACCAAATATATTTTATAGGAGAGTAAATGTTTCTGGACAACTGAAATAATATTTCTGAATATCTGCTATGTATTTTGTACATTGGCTTAATTTTTGTTCCTAAAAGTTCAGATATAACCAGGTATATCAGTTTAGCAACTGAAAAACCCAACTGCCTTGCAGGAATGCCAGTGTATATATACCACTATAGAGAAGATTCACTCAAATAAGTTATTAGCTCTTCTCAGGAAGATCATACGTTACAAAAACGTTATGATTTTTCAAATGCTAGTTAAGAGTGAGGATTTAAGAGATATTGACAAGCTGCAAGGTGTCCATTTAGGGCAACTAAAATGATCGAAGGCCTGGATACCACGCCCTATGAGGAGCAGTTTTAAAAGCTGGGGGTGTTTAGGCTCCAGAAGAGAAACTTGAGAAGAGACATGATGGCCATGTATAAATATGTGAAAGTATGTCATAAGGGATAAAAAAAATCTATTTTAAAACGCGGTGCCCAGAATTGGACACAGTATTCCAGGTGAGGTCTAACCAAAGCAGAACACAAAGGCAACAGCTAGGAAAGCCAATGGGACTTCCCTTGCAGCCAAAAATCCCATTGGCTTTTCTAGCTGTTGCATCATACTGTTGGCTCATGTTCAATTTGTTGTCCACAAAGACGCCAAGATCTTTCTCACATGAACTGTTGTCGAGCCAGGTATCACCCATTCTGTATCTTTGCATTTCATTTTTTTCTTCCTAAGTATAGTATCTTACTTTTGTTCAGTTTTGGCCCAGCACTCTAATCTATTATGGTCATTTTGAATTCTGATCCTGTCCTCTTGAGTCTTAGCTAGCTCTCCTAATTTGGTGTCATCTGCAACCTTGATAAGTATGCCCTCTAAACCTTCATCCAAGTCATTAATAAAGTACTGGGCCCAGGACTGAACCTTTCAGCACTCCATTAGACACTTCTTTCTAGGATGCAGTGGCACCATTAATGATCACGCTTTGGGTTTAGTTGCTTAACCAATTACAGATCCACCTAATAGTAGCATTGCCTAGCCCATATTTGACTAGCTTGCTTGCAAGGTGGTTATGGGAGACTCTGTTGAAGGCCTTATTGAAATCAACATATGCTAGGATTCCCTGCATCTACCAAGCTTGTAACTCTATAAAAAAAGATATAAGATTAGTCTGGCATGGCTTGTTTTTGAGAAATCTATGTTGACTTTTAGTAATCACAGCATTCCTTTCTAAGTGATTGCAGATTGCCTCCTTAATGATCTGCTTCAGAATCTTCCCTAGTACTGAGGTCAGGATGACTGGACAGCAATTGTTTGACAAAATCACAAAAAAATTGTCAGTCTATTCATGACACACCTGTAAATGAATGATTAAATATGGACTATTTGCTAGTCTAAACATTCCTACCCATTTTATTATTGGATCTCCGAATAGCTTCAAGAGAAACCAAGACTTTGTTCTGCACAGATGTGAAGTCTGCGATATTAGGTGCTCTGTCTCCTTTCCAAAGCATTCGAGGTGGTAGTCCAGTCTGGAAGTAGTTTGTTGTGTTCTGGTCTGTTGGAAAATGTGTGGCAGCAATGAATTCAACTGCAGATGCCCAGTTCTCACCAAAGCTCATTTCAGGATCACTGAGAAAGGGTAATCTAAAATTGAGGAGACATACTACGTCAGTCTTCATTCACTATACATTCTGCTACCAACAGGAGTAATGCTTTCAGATTCATAGAGAGATCTTCAGTATCACCTGACTAATAGTTGCATCATTCCTAGACAATGCATTGCACTGCATCCTGTATCCTGTTACAAATTTGAGATTTGTTCTAGTACAAAACCAGTATGTCTCCTTATAAGACCTGTCTGATCTGAAGGATAATCTTACTGGTGATGAAGGTGTGCAGTACATCCAAATTATCCCAACTGATAGGGATCTGGAATAATATCCAGTCAATGCTGCCACCAGACTACAGTCACCATAAAATCTGCAACAATATCCTAAAAAGATAACTTCTTCCCCACCCCATCCCTCTCCATGCAACATCTGAGTATGACTGCAAGCAAAAAAAAAAAACAAAAAAAACAGAAAAGGGATAACAAAGCAATGATTACTGTGCTGAATCAAGTTCTTTTACTCTTCCCTAACCTATGTGTAGGGCTGCTTTTGAAATCTGTTTGGAAACTGCGGCAGGTCTAAAGCGCTGGCTAGAACATCCTACTCCCCTGTTGAAAACAGCCTCACCGGCTACTGGTTCATTTCTGGCCATAATTCAAAGGACAGATCATGAGGTATAACACTGTTCTAAAGCTTACACTGTTTTTAGCTTATATGTAAACTACTTTAAGTGCAATTTAGGGAGAAAGATGGGATATAATTAATCAAATAAAATTAATAATTCTGAGAGCTGGTAAGGTTTATACAGTATTGTTCTTTTTGGTGACAAATGCCACACGAACCACAGAATAAGAGGAATGAAGAAAAAATAGAAGAAGCAAAACAAGAATAGAGTGCATTTCTAAATGTAGTTAAATAAAGAACCTCTGAAAAACTGAAAGATCTTTCTTAAGATGCAAAGGCTATGCACACAGAACATTTGAATATCCAATTAGGTCTGGTGTAGATTGTATTCACTCTTATAAGTAAATACAGTCAGCCCTCTGTATCCACAGGTTCTGCTTCATAGTCAACCATGGCTTAGTTTTTAAAAATCCAAAATGTATCCTTGATTTTTATGTGCGCTGAATACTACACCGATTGCCTTCACCAATTCAGAGATTCTTAATCTCTCTCCAGCACTCATTTGTCATTTTAATTTCTGCATTGTATATAATGGGATTTGAGCATCCATAGATTGTGGTATCAAAGGAAATAGCTAGAGGCTGAGATCCTACATCCTGCTTGCATGGCATACATTTGCATACAAGTACTTCAGCAATTGTAATGCTACTCACCCTTGTTCTGAATGCGAACATTATGCAACCAATTTCATACCTGACAGTGTGCTTGCTTATTTGCCTTGTTATGTAATAGGAAATGAGCAACGGTTCATTAAAAGCACTAAAAAATAGTTATGAGAATGTTTAGCTGCATGTGCAACAGTTGTGTTGTGTAATTTCACTTGTACAACCAGAAATTGAAAATGGACTTGTACAACCATCCATCACAAGCCACACACATAAGGGAATGTACACGTGCAAATGACACCAAGAGGAATCAGGTCTGAAAAACCAAAACAGACAGGAGTCTGTTACCAGTGTTTTCTTCCAACATCTGTTGCCCAAGGACAGGGCCAGCCCTGTATGTGATACGACTGCTTAAGAATGGATTCTCAAATCAATATTTGATTCATGAATACATTATTCCATGATTCTATGTTGAAAGCCTTTGGTATTTTGGATAGTTTACCTTACCGTTTTTGAAACTTTAGCTGTGCAAAAGCAATGGAGAGGACATGAGCTTTCCACATATAGTTTAGTGCTTCATCTTGTGAGAAGGAATTACTTGCAGATATTTCCATGTTAGGAGCAGTGGATAAAAGATACTAGAAGCAGAAACACATATATCTGTCAAGATGCTTAGTCAGCCATTTCCCACTAAGTTGATTACATTTGATATAGATATAGATGAGTTGAATTATTTTAGCTGTCCTCACAATAACCTATAGATGAGCTCATTTTTTTTTCAAAAAAAATGAGTCATTTTTTAAAAAATTCTTTTAGAAACACAAGCCTCTCTTGATCATCTACAGCATTTGTCTAGCTTTCTCTGTCGAATATGCTTTATAATGTTATTCTGTGTATCATATCTACCCAGACAGAAGCTATACTAACTTCAATGAGGTTTTGCATGAACACCTATTAAAGGGAGTTTGATGTACTTAGATGACATCCATATCTTTAGTGAGACAATGGCAGAACATGAAGCTCTACTCCAGTGATTCCCAACCTGTGGTCCATGGCCCACCAGTGGTCTGCAAGAACTAAAATATGGTCCGCAGCCTCACTGTTACTACACCGTTGGCGAGGAGGCAAGAGAGAGCTGTTAGGGTGAATTTCTTGGGTTTTGCATTCTGCTTTTTGTATTTTTTCAACCTCAGCTCCCTCCCCTTCATTATTACACAAGCATTAACAAAATCCACAGATAATAACACAACCCAACAAAAAAAAACCTTTTTTCTTGGCGTCTTTGTTTTAGGCCTGTTCCTGGGATTATTTGGGGGGCTGATTCAGAAAATTGCATTGGATAGACCACATCAGCTCTAGATTATTAAATATGATTTTCTGTGGGTGAGCAGATGGCAACTACTGGATGGCATATGTTCTTTATTAGAAACTAGAGCTGATGTGATCTATCCAATGCAATTTTTTGAATCAACACCCCAAATAACCAAACCGAATCTAAAGTTGACCAAAAACTGATTTGTAACCCTTTTGGTATTAATGTTGGAGAGTGGTCCCTGATCAAGGTGGTCCCTGGTCAAAAACTTCAGAGTTTCCTGGTGTTCACAAATTTCTATAAAAGCTTTATAAAGACTTTGCCCCTACCCCTTTACCACTGGCCAACCTTTCGAGGACCAAAGGGCAGGGGGAGACCAGTCAAGTGAAAAATCTGGGGCCAAAATTAAACTGCCAACAGACTTTTGCAAAGCTTTACTAACTATTCACCCAACACACAGTCTTCACTCACTCTGATAAGACTTTTGTGATCCATGTTGATGCCTCAGATGTGGCTTTTGGTGGCATTTTATTTCAGAAAATCTCAGAAGAAACATCAGTTCCATGATCCTATTTATCAAAAAAATTCTCACCCGCTGAGCAACAGTGGAATGTTTGGGAAAAAGAAGCTTTTGCTGTAAAAGGGATGCTGCCAGCTTGGCATCATTTCCTAGAGGGGGCAAAACACCCCTCTGACCTAACAGATAATGCTTAACCTGTAATAAGTATGCTGCCTCTGACATGGAAGGTTGCATACAGTCCTCACGACAGCCTTCAAGAATTTAAAAAACAACTACAAGAACAGCAGTACCTGGAAGAAATTCCTCCAGCCAGCCATGACTGCTGGTACTTGGGTATTGCATTCAATGACAGAGTGACAGAAGTCACTTTTCTTCTCATCTGGTGGAAGCAATTTTATCTCATATGGCAGCTCTCCAAAGAAGCCACTCTCCACAGCCCCCAGAAATGGAATTACAGATAAGTAGTAATTCATACCTTGAGTAGGAAACAGTAAAAAGTTCAGTTTAGCTGTAAACACATTGCCAAATAGAAAATACGCTTCTGAAAACAATATTTATGTGCAGCCTGATTTTATGTCTTCTTTAGCAGAACTACATCCTTCTTGGTTCAATTGTTCTAAAATACATGGCTATAGGAATGCAACCATAAGTCTTTCTTTTACTGAGAGGACCCCAGATTCACATCACATTTCTTTTTTATGGATTATAGCAGACTAGAGAATTAAAAAAATATAAAACTTCATGTAAACTTTATCGGCCCAACAAGATAGTTTCATTTTATAATCATATTTTTTTCAATTTCATTTGGTGAAATGTGACGAGATTGTTGGGATTTAGTCATGGTCACAAATTGGGTAGACAGGTATTTTCATGTCTTGTTTTAGAAATATAGTGCTAATCTAACTCTTCCATTACATTGGATATACACATACTAGATGAACAGTCCATGATATTCATATCAAAATTCAATGATGGAGACCATATCTTATTCCAGTTTTTCAGTTGTGCTCCCATTATTCAGCACCATCCAAGGCGGTGATACCCTGGCCACCCACCTTCTTCAGGTGGCAAGAGCGTATCCCCTTCCTCTTCCCTTCCTCTCCTCTCCCCACAGGCCTACCCCCTTTTCTTTGACCATGGTTATCTTTCCTCCTGTAGCCCCTGGTGCCAAAGCAGACATTAGCAAAACACTGGCATTTTAAAAAAGAAAGCCACCAACAGGTGACTGCTGCTGGGGCAATGGCACACCTAGGAATGGAGGCTTCAATCTGGTACAAGCACCTCACCTTTCCTCCTGCTTGTGCAGAGGAAAAGCCCAGCAGACTCATGATAAGGCTGCTCTGGGAGATAGAAGGCAGCAGATCACTGGCTGGACTTGACTTCTGGGTAGTGAAGGAGGCTAATGACACCAACTCTAGTGACACCACTGTTCCTCAGTTATGTCAAAGTTCTTTGGTTTTGCAAATATCTTAATGGATTACAAATGGATTACAAAAGCCATACAATAATTAATGAAAAAAGCAGATGTACTTACAAGCCCACCAGCTGTTTATGGATATACACAACTTATCTCCATCCATGTGGCCACATGTTGTGACATTTGAGGGATCTGCTAGTCTGCCTAGAAAAGAAAAAAATGTATACAACCCAATTTGTATGAATGGTAAATGACGTTTACACTTGACCCAAGGTTTTGCCAAGGAAAGGAAAAGTATATGTTAAAATCAATTGCCATTTTCCTTCCAAGCAAACCTGAAACAAAAATGAATCAATTGCTCTTAGGAGTAGCTACATGTTATTTTTTAAGCCTGCAGATACCATGGTTTTAATGCATACTTAACCATGATACTCCAGATGCACTCTCTTGGCCTTAAAGGAAGGCAGTAGCAAACCTCCTCAGAAGAAATCTTGCAGAGATGGTAAAGTTGTCATAAATCAGAGTGGGCATGGTGGCACATGACAAACCACAACAACAAGCTATACCTTGAATCTCATGGCTTGGGAAATGGAATGAAATCAATCAATTAAGCATTCTTTGAAATAATATGGCACAAATACAAAAGGAAGGAAGGAAGGCAGAAAACTACCACAATACATTTTAAGAGTTTCAAATCCTTGTTCACTAATTCACCAGCCAATTTGATGCCTGGGGGGAGCCCAAAATATTAGCTATGCAGACATAAATATCATATCTAGCCAATAACAACAACAATATAGACTCATTGATGAATGCCACCAAATGCTTGTGATTAAATTTGTTGGACTAAAACATGGGGAATACCTGTTACACTATTCAGTGTAAAATAGATACAAAAAAAAACCCAAACAACAACCACAGATAGCAATGCAACTTTGTATGTGAATTTGCAAAGAGGAAGGTGAAGCAGACAGAGTTAACACTCTACACATTTGCACGTGTACAAACATTTCCAAAACCACATTGTTTGTTCCCTCTAACCAGCTGCTTTCAATTTAAAAACAAAATATATCAGAGATAGTCCTTATACTTGTCTCAAGTGTTATGTTAAGTTTGAGTGATAGTAGAATATTTTTTTAGCCTATATCTTTTATCCTATATCAGCAGCAGCTGCAAGTTTCTCAGATGCTGATCTCATTTGCCAGTCAAGAGATCTGAGCCTTGGCTGATGAACTGTGTTCCTTCATTGTGTGAAGAATCAATATTTTCTCTTTGGAGAGAGGTGAAGGGGACAGGTATTTTTTGGGGCAATTTGACATTTGAGAAATCTGTTTCAGTAGATACACAAAGTCTGTGTAAAGGTTGCAAGCCATTGGGAGCCAAATTAATTTCATCCACATCTTAATGTGTATATAGTTTTAAATTATCTTAAATTGCTTTAAACTGCTGGTTTGAGTTTTTTTAAATTATTTAACATTTAAACTAGTCTGATTAAATTATTGGCATTAGTTTAAACATGTTTAAGTGAGTTTAATTGATTTTGTTATACACCAACCTGAGGTCTCACAATATTAGGAAGAATCTGTTCTGCTCTTCTACTGACAGTTATCTTCTATCTTTTAATGGATTTGTTTTACTCTGTACAACATTTTGCTTGACTGGATTTTTATGTGAACTTTTTCTGTTCTCCCTATAAATGTTTATATATTATATTATATTATATTATATATTTTGTAAGCCCTCTTTGAATCTCATTATTTGGGGGGGGGGGGAGATGGGATATACAGTTGTTCCTCCGTGTCCACAGATTCTATCTGCAGAAGTTCAGCTATCCACAGCTTGAAAATATTTCAAAATAAAATACTAAAAGCAAATCTTGACTTGCCATTTTATATAAGGGAGAAAATTTTACTATGCCATTGTATATAATGAAACATACCCATGAAGGTTCCTGGAATCAAAACCCAGTTGATACCAAGAGTCCACTGTAAATGAAATTATTGTCAATAATAATAATAATAATAATAATCATCATCATCATCATCATCATCATCATCATCAATAAAATATAAATTAAAACTAAAAAAAATGGTTACTGAATGAGAGAAAACTGCATTCCCTTGTAGTCTGGATTAATCGCTTCCCACTATTTTACTTCTCTTAAGACATTTAAAATAATTAACATTGACGGGTCACATTTTAAAAACTTAGACTGCAAATAATTTTTTTACCTGTTCTATATTGCCAGCCATGCTGCAAGGGCAGTCCCCACAGGATATTGCCAGTGTTATTTGGCCCCAGATTAACAAAGTATTTAGCTGAGGAGGACAGCAAGATTTTATATAATCCTAATCTTTCTCTGTAATTCCAGGCATTGATGGCAAGGCTGTTGTCCTGTTTGAAATATTCTTCTAAATTCCCAGGTGCAGATTTCCATAGTGGAGGGAAGTCACCACTGTCCCCTTCATGTTCCTCAGTTTGCCTTTGTGCAGCCACTAGACTGAAAGCAGTCATAGCAAGGATAAGGAGCAGAGTATATCTCATGTTGCTCAGGAAGATGTTGCTTCTGGACTTCCTCAAGCATAGGAGCTGATTTTAAACAAGTACAGACCAATCAGAATGTGACACATACATTAGATTTTTTTCCTTCCTGGTAAACAATAATAAGTAAGTGAAAGGAAAGTACGAGATGAATGTCTCTTACATGTAAATATAATTCTGTAATGAGATTCTCCCTCTCTCTTTTTCAAATGTTTTCCCCAGAGCAACAAGACAGTTTCACAACAGTAATAGAAATGTACTTTGTACAGTTGGCACAAAAATAATTGAGCCTCCAAGAGAACTGCTTCCAAGAGAGCAATTGCTCTGCCTTGTTCCGAAAATGTATGGGCACTTGATATGATGAATTCTTCCATTTGTAACTTTCTAACATTTGTTTCTCAGTGCTTCTTCCATAATCTTCACCTCCATCTGAAAATTAGTCAAGGAAGAGAAGACATAAGACATGGGGAATATTTGATAAACAAAGTTTCTGGAGTATAAAAACTCCTTTCAAAGTAAGTACCATCCAATTAAACAAGAATAACACTTTCAAACCAGAGATGGAATTTTTTCAAATGTTGTTACAAAGTGTAATATTTGGTCTAAAAAATGGAAGAGCAGAAAGAGAGATGATCACAGCCTAGAAAAGTTGTACAGTACATTTTGATCGAATCAGAAGAATTCTTCTGTCTTGAACTATCCCTTGTTGTTGTTACTGTGTGAGTTCAAGTCATTTCTTATTAAGGTACATGGCTAAGTTCCTGTGGGATCACTACCTGGTGTGTGTGTATAAAGACAAAAAGACTCACCCTGGAAAATTACAATCCTCAGGCTGACCAACTGGGGTAATTAAGGTCAACAACTCTGGACCACTCCTGAAGGGGTATAATTGAGGAGTGTTTGTTGTATGGCTTTGGGCTTATGGAATGTTTGCTCCTAAGCTTACTTAGTTCGGTGTAAGTTTCTGGCTTGCAGCTTATCTGATGCTTTCAAGTTTGTCTGTCATGCTCATCTCCATGAACAAGAAATGAAGATAGGAAGAAGACATATTTTCTGATGGAAAGCATTGCATGAAATAAATGCAAGGACTAGGCATGTTTTTGGTACTCCAGAAGAACTGTGACTGTATTATTACTACACAGTTTGTGTTGAAGTTGCTGTTATTTTATGAACTCTGCTGCACAAGAGTAAAATTTAAGTTTTGCTTTATTTCTACTTGTGTTGCTCATTTTGAATAAACAAATGACTAATCTTCTACATGTCTGCACACATCGTGAAACCATAACATTTCTGAACAATAGCAACCCAAAAGGCAAATGTATCACTGCTTGTTTTGTTTGTTTGGCAAATTAGTTCAGAAGTTTGCCATTACCTTCTTCTGAGGCTGAGGGAGTTGAGAGCTCTGTTAACCTGCTGGAGTAATTCCAGATTTCAGCAGCATTTTTGATCAATAGACACAAAACAAAATAATTTCAAGGAGGCAGCTGTTACAATTGTCCATTAATAAATTCTTTCACAACTGCTCATGTAGAGAAACCCCTCTCATGAGCAATGCTATGAATTTCTTATTTCTAGTTATCTCCGATGCATGCAAAAATACTATTGACTGGGTATTGCCACAGATGAAACATAGATTAGCTGAATCTCAAATACAAACATTTCTATCCTCATTTCTGTTCTACTTTCTCTGGCATGCTGCCTGGAACATTCTAGGAGCTGTACTAAAAAAAAGAAAACATTTTTCCTTGCTTTGATGTTGGTAGAGCAGCTGGACATGCATGCCAAATCAGGATCACTAAATATGGTTCTAGTTAGCCACAATTATGGCTAAACAAGGTATGCCTCTTTTTGCAGTAGAAATAAGATTTCAGTGTTCTTGCTTCATCTTCTGCAAAGATGGAAGGATATCCAGGAACCGGTATCTTTGGAGCTCTCATCTGAACAGAAGCTCCTTTTCTACAAAATGTAGCTTTCTTGCCTACAGTCTTTCTGTTATGTGAATCTGTCTAGGTAAATATTATTGTATATACCTGTATATAAGTTGACCTCATATATGTCAAATACAGCTTTTGGGGGGGGGGGTAAATTGATTGATTTAAATATTACCTATGGATAGATTGAGATGTTCTGTAGAGGGAAAAAGTGACAACACTGCCTCAGGTGGCTAGCCATCCCTGACCAGTGCTGGCAACATTTTCCCACCCAGGCATTGTAAAAGGTACCACAGAGGTTGGTACTTCTTTTAGATTCACACCTTTTGCCATTCAGCTCAGAGATTATTCCTTTTTTAAAATACGAGTTAACGTATAGTACTTAAATTGGCCTATGGTTAAGCCAAACTAGGTTTTGGGGTCAAATTTTAACCTAAATGTCTAGATTTATACATGAGTAAATACAGTAGTTATATCTTTAAACCTGCCATTTATCACAGTCTTTTTCCAACTAGTTCAGTGATAAGATTCACTGTTATTCCCTCCCATACCTATTCCCTTGAGGCAAGAGAAAGCAATTCTAAAATATCAGACTCAAAGCCACCATTCCAAGACATTCAGAAAGTCACATAAAGATGGCTCAGTGTTCAACCCGTTTTCTCTCCCCCCCCCCCCCCCCCCCCCCCCCCCCCCCCCCGTTACCCTGTTTATTAGAATCCTACTTAATGGCCATCCTCCAGAGATACCAAGATACTTGTGTTGTGTGATTTCAGGTCTGCTAAAATCATGGGTTCGGGGAGCCTGGAGTGTTTAGCTAATCCAGAAGACCAAATCAGATACAGAGAGTTAGAAGGCAAAACCAGAGTTTTATTCCCAATGGCCAGAGAGGGTGTCAGTGGAGAAAACAATCCAAAATACTGACATACCCCAACTGTGAACACATAGGCTTATTTATAGTACACTTGATAGAAAGAAGATTCAGTACAGAACGATTGAAAATTGCCGTGCTGGTTTCCCATTGGTTCTGGAGGTTGCCAGCTAATATCCACAGCCTCATTGTAGGAGATGCAAGTCTGCTTCTGCCTCTGAACCAATCAGAGGCGAGGCAGAAAATTTAATAAACTGTCATTCATTGATTTGGAATCATCTGTCTGTTGTGAGTCCTTTCCAGAAAATGGGTGCATCTGGGCAGAATGCAGTTTCATGTGTGGTTGAAGGGTCCTGATGGTCAAATACAAGCTAGATAAAGGAGGTGCCAGCCAGTGGACCAAAGGTGTTTAAGGTGCAGTTGCATACAATGGAGGATTCACAGATGGAATCCGAATACCTACTCTCTCTGTTCTCCAACTCTGAGAAAGCCTACCTCCAAGGTAGCACTCTGCATGGCCATAGCCGGGGGTGGGCAGGCAGATGGTAATCAAGGGCTCAACTCCCCCCCCCCCAAATGTGTCAGATTTTTACAAAAAAATCCTGGTTTACTCATGAATTTAACTGATTAACCAATTCATGAATAAACCAGGTTTTTTTTAGCCTGCCACATTTCGGGGGGGGGGGTTGAACCCTTAATCCCTCCCCCTCCAGCTACAGCCATGCTGACAACAGTGGGCAGGTTCTTTTTGTGGCTTTTTCCCCTTCCTCCATTTCCTCATACACACACTCTCTTTATTTTCTTTCTTCCCCTTTCTTTCTTTCCTCTTCTTTCCTTCCTTCCTTCTGTCTGTCCGTCCTTTCTCTTTCCTTCTTTTTCTCTCTTCCCTCTTTTCCTTCAGTTCTTCTTTCTTCCATCCCTTTCTCTTCTTTCCTTTCTTCTCTAGCCTCATACCCTTTTCTCCTTTCCCTTTTCCCCATCCTTCCCCTTTTTCTCCTCCCTCCTTACAACACTTCCTTTTCCCTTCCTTTCCCATCTTTTTCACTTTCTTTCTTTTTTCCCCTTTTTTTCTTTTCTTTGTCTCATAAAATTTTACCTGGTAGCATTCTTTCCCTGTGATATTATAGAGGGCCACTTCACTTAGCAATAGCCAGTCTTTCACCTAGCCACAGCCAATCTACTTTGTTCCTTTACTTTACCCCTTCTCTGTATTCCACTTGCCCAGTGTGGAATACATCTCACCATGTTAAAACAGTAGATGTGGCTCTTAATGAGATTATTACAATATGTCTACACCCTACACCACTGGAAAAATTATACTATTTAGCTAGTGTTGCACTACCTGACATCCATCGGAAAGTAACAGCCTGTAATGAAAGGACCAAGGCATTGACATCTCAGGCACATCCTCTGTTTGGATATCAGCCAGCAAGCCAACACCTTAAATAAAGAAATAGCTTCCTAAGATATACTTGTAGGAATACCTCCTCCCCCCCTGAAATTCTCGTGGTGGTTCGCGAAAAGGCCTTACTGGTGCATTATTTAAACTGTTATGTTTATTCATATCATGATCTGATCACCATACTCAATATATCCCATATGCATGGGGGTATTGGGGTAACAATAAAAAAGGTTTGCTAGGGTAGACCCTCTTTCGTTCAGACTCAGCCCCCCCCCCCCCCCCGAATCGAAATCCTGGCTACAGGCCTGACTAGGGATGACCCAGATCTTGGTATTTAATAGCTCACCTATACACTTGCATATGCAGAAATATCTTCTTTATATAAATATTTAGGTCAGAAGTAAAAAGAAGTTTATCCTAACAAAAGAGTGGCTATGTAGCTGTTCAACTCATGCTTGATCTACCCTGCCATATAATCCAGTTTCTGAATCCAGATTATCTGCTTTGAACTGGGTTGTATGAGTCTACACTACCATATAATCCAGTCAAAGCAGATAGATTCAGAAAAATGCTTACATCTCATATTTCTGGTCTCAAAATAGCATAACAGACATAGGCTGAATCTACATTGCCAAATAATGCAGTTTCAACTGCATTGAACTTCATTATATGAGTCTACACCGACCTTATAATATAGTTTAAACTGCATTATATGGCAGTGTAGATGAAACAGCAATAGTGCTAAAAAAAGGTTGCTTGTCACATCAATTATTGTCTGTCTCTTACCACATGATGGTGCTGTAGAGTTTTTTTTCTCTTCCCAGGTTTTCCACTTGGCAAATAAACAAAGTAATTGCAGTGTGAAAGCGCTCTCTCTCTCTCTCTGTGTGTGTAATGATAATACATTACAATGCATGTTAAAATATGAAACACTCTTAACAATGGACATCTATGTGCCACTTGAAAGTTATTTTATTTTTCTTACTCCCTATTTGTACTTATCATCCACTGGAGGTGTTATTTGTTTTTTGCATCCTCTATATATACTTATAGATATACATGCGTTAGTATATCCTTGCTACACCATGGAAACCCACTTGGGCAAGCCACACTTTCTTTGCCTCAGAGAAAGGCATCTCTAAACAAATCTTGCCAAGAAAACCCCACCAGAGGATCGCCATAATTGAAATCATTGAACAACCATGGCAAGAAAAACAGCAGCAGCAAG